AGAAGGGGAAGGGGAAGGGGAAGAAATCCGTTGTAACCTACGATGGACGATCACTTATCATTAATGGAAGTCGAGAACTTATCTTCTCAGGTTCAATCCATTATCCTCGTAGCCCTCCTGAGGTAATAATCTCAAATGATTATGTTCAACCACCTCGTTTAAAAGCCTGCACGGAGTTTAAATTTTGTTATATGCATTGATTTCAGATGTGGCCAGAAATCATTGAAAAGGCCAAAAAGGGTGGTCTGAACCTCATCCAGACTTATGTTTTTTGGAACATCCATGAGCCAGTTCAAGGCCAGTTCAATTTTGAAGGCAACTATGACCTCATAAAATTCCTTAAAATGATTGGGGAGCATGGTTTGTGGGTTAGTCTCAGGGTTGGACCCTACATTGAGGGTGAATGGAATATGGGGTAAATTTTTCGAAAGTATCATTTTCTCATATTTTTTAATTTAATCATATGACAACCTTGTTTTTAATCCTGAATGTGTCTGTCTGAACAGAGGATTTCCATACTGGCTAAGAGAGGTTCCCGACATCACATTCCGTTCTTACAACGAACCCTTCGTGGTAATTCATCTAATAACAGACCGGACTTTCTTTTTTTAGTGAAGCAACTTATACTTCCGTTACATTGTCCAATTGATCAAAAAAAATGTTCGACTTTGCAGTATCATATGCAAAAATACACAGAGATGATCGTTAATATGGTGAAAAAGGAGAAACTATTTGCAGATCAAGGAGGCCCCGTTATCATGGCACAGATTGAAAACGAGTACAATAATATCCAGCTTGCCTACAGAGAAGCAGGAGAAAAGTATGTTAAGTGGGCAGCAGATATGGCCGTAGGTCTATATGATGGCATCCCGTGGATTATGTGCAAGCAGGAGGATGCCCCCGAGCATGTGGTTAGTTATTTTTCCCCCTTCTTTTTTGACTTTTAGTCGAATATGTTAATTCTGTTTTGTCTAACATAATCGATTCGCTATCTAGATTAGTACGTGTAATGGAAGACAGTGTGGAGATACTTTCCCTGGTCCAAATGGCCCTAACAAGCCTTCTTTGTGGACGGAGAACTGGACTGCTCAGTGAGTATAGGCCTTATGCCTCGATTATGCCATATCGACATCGATTTTCTATTTTGTTCTAACGGGTATTTCTCCCTTGAAAACAAAATATGATTGCAGATACAGAGTATTTGGAGACCCTCCGTCCCAACGTTCAGCAGAAGATCTTGCATTCTCTGTTGCTCGTTTCTTTGCAAGGAACGGTACCCTTAACAACTATTATATGGTACAGTAAATATCATCTTTTAAGAATTT